CTGGCACCGCTCCCTGTCATGAATATTCAGCCGTGCCTGGCCCGGCCCCGCTGTTTGCTCCGGCGGGAGGGGTTTGGGAGCGGGTTCACCTTGACGGGAACACCGGGACAGCGGCAGGTGAGCGGCACCTGCCCGCGCTGCCCCCCCGGGACACCCCGGGAAATCCCCGGGACACGCCCGGGACAGCCCCGGTACCCCGCCGCGGCAGGAGCAGGTACCGGGGTGCGGTGTCCGTGCCGGGGATGGTCTGTGGGACCCCCGGGGACGCTCTGGGGACACGGCCGGGGATGGTCCCACCTGGCTGCGGCACGGGCAAGGGGCGCCGGGGACACCGGGGCCAGCGGCGGGGTGGCGGCCGCCGTCCCCGTGCCCTTGTCCCCACGTCGCAGCGGGAAACGGGGGTTTTGTCCCCAAAGCGATGCCCCGGGCGACACCGAGGAGGGATCGCTGGTGGCCGAGCGCCACGGGGACACGGGTGGGGACAGGGACGGGGACACCGGGCTGTGCTGCACCCCGGCCCCGGGAATCCCCTCCGTGCCCCGGGCTCGGGAGCCGCCTTCCCTCGGTTCCTGCCCCGGGGCCACGCTCGGCTCCGGAGCCTTCCCGGAGCCTTCCCCGGCCCCTGCCGCGCTCCCGCCCGGCCCCGGCGGGGACGGGGAGCGCCGAGCCCGGTGTGGGGCAGGCGGGGACCCCCCGGCAGCGCCGCCGGCACCTCCCGGTGCCACCTGCCCAGTTCCTGTTCCTGGTTGCTCGCCGCGCTCCCTCCCCGCCACACGTGGCTGATAAGGGCAGCTCCCGGCGCTGCCGGCGGCCTTTCCCGGCTTTCCTCCGCAATTCCCGAGCCGCGGAACGCCCGTCCCGTCCCGGTGCTCCCGGGGGATCCCGCCGCGAGCATCCCGCGGGAAGGAAGCGCCGCGGCCCCGATGCAGCTGCGGGAGCGCAGCCCCGGGGAGGGCGGCGGGAGGTGCGGGAGGGAGCGCGACCCCCGAATCCCGTTGCAGGATGGGCGACGGGCACGGCTGGTGGAAGCTGACGTTCCTGCGGAAGCGGCAGGCAGCGCCCGCCGTGCTCTACGAGAGCCCCGAGGGGCCGGCGGCGCCGGGCGGGGACGGCGCGGAGGGGCCGGGCCCCGAGGGGACCCCCGGCTTCGCCGCCCGCCTGGAGAAGATCGTGGACAAGAGCACCAAGGGCAAGCACGTCAAGGTCTCGCACTCCGGGCGCTTCAAGGAGAAGAAGAAAGTCAGGGCGACGCTGGCCGAGCATCCCAACCTGTGCGGGGCCGGCGAGCGCGACGAGAAGTGAGCCGGGCGGATTGTCGCCCGGTGCGCGGGGCCGCCGGAGCGGAGAGGACTCGGGCTGGAATTTACCTGTGGATAGATTATCCCTGACCTGCGGGACTGGCCCCGGGGCACGGCGGGGCCGGCGCTCCCCGTCCCTCCCGCTGCCCAGCGCCGACTGGTTCGTACTGGGATGAGGACGCTCCCCCCGTGGCCCGCCTGGCTCTGCCCCAGTCCCATTCCCAATCCCGTTCCCAATCCCATCCCAATCCCCTCCTCCCGTCGCTTTTTGGGGCCGAGCCCCGCTCGTGTCCCAGTCCCGAGGGGCTGCAGAGCCCCGGGAGGGGATGCGACCCTTCCCCGTCCCGAGGGACCGTGCGGGACCGATCCCCGCGCGGGGACCGCGGAGCGCTCCCAGGAGGAGCCGCAATTCCCGGGAATCGCTCCCCGCTGCTGGAAGCGGGGATCCCGCCCCGCCGGGCTGGGAGCGCTCGCGCCTGCTGCTAATTAACTGCGGTTAATAAACCCAGCCTGGGGGCGAGGCAGCTCCGGGAGAGCTCCGCTGGGTCCGGACTGGAGGGGTGGGAAGGCTCCGGATCGCCGCGGGACGCGGGTGGGAGCGGGGCGGGGCGGGGAATCCCTGCCCCGGTGAAGGACGAGGAAGCAGAGGCGGATCCGGGAGAGCTCCGGGATCCCGGAACCCGGCACGGAAGGGTGGGAAGGCTCTGGATCCCTC